CTCAAGTCCGTGAAAATGCTGCAAAATTTGGCAAACCCGTTTTCAAAATGGGCATGTTGCAAACCTCAGCTGGAGCGAAAAGGAGAGTTGTTAATTATGGGAAATGGCTCTAAGTCAAGATAGGCGCATCGGAAAAGGCTGAAAAACACTTCTAACTTCACAATCTCCGTAAGAAATATGCATTTTTTTAGGCTTCCTGCCTCAAAAACGATACCACGGCACAGGTGAACATAGACAAATTTAGTGGCCACGTCATGGTTCAGATATAATCCAACACATAACCTTGTTTCTGATTCGCACCTTTCGCGCTATCGTGGTAAAATGCGTCTAAGTGTTTCTTGCAATCGAAATTTCTCGCGTTTTATAAGTCCTTAATTGATTTATGACCTGTCAATAACTAAACTGTAATGAACTACACTGGAAAAAAAAACACATTGGATTTAGAGTCCAGACTCTTAAAAACATCGACAAGAAAAAATACTCTTGATTCAATCGGATTTTTGCTTAAATCAATAACCAAGCCTCTTGATTTGAGCGGATATCCTTTTGATTTAAGCTAAAATCTGATTGAATCAAGAGTATTTTTTCTTGTCGATGTTTTCAAGAGTCTGGACTCTAGATCCAATGTGTTTTTTTGCCCCCAGTGTTCAGCATGGCTGACGCTAACTCGCTGAAACAAACGTGACCAAAAACCAAAACACACGTAACGAGACGGGATTTTACCATCCGGCGTGTTCATATTTACATATTCCTTGCGTCGAAAAGACCATAGTGCCTCCTCACAATTTGCGCGCGGAAGCGTCGGCTATGTTGAATATAGTGTTATTGAATCCTATTGTGGAAGGGTTCATCAACAACCGTGATTTTTCATTTCCGCGAATAAACAACGTATGAGCTATATGAACATATACGTGTTGTGGAGGTTAATAACATAAAAGTTTATTCAGACTTTGAAACAGTACTGTTGTGTGGCGTCACAATGTTTTCACTCAAGTTTGCAACGTTCAATTTCTAGCTGAATATTACACTGATTTTTTTTCTGATCCCGTGCAAAAATTATAAAGAACTGCGGTGGTCAATACTTGTAAAAATTGAATTGCTTGAGTTAATTTTGCAACCTTGGAACGGAGTTACGTGCCCTCGTTCGGGAAACGAAGACTTGTGAGCTGACCTAGACGGCGTGAACCAGCGCAGCTGTCAGTTAACCAGAAGTTGGACACCGGTGAGATTTTTAAGGTTGAAAGAAAATATATTCGTGAAAAATCCGTAAAGGAGGAAACATATAGACGATAATAGCACTTGCACTTCTTCGAATCTCCGAGAACAAATTCCATGAAAATATTCGAGAATGATTATGGACTAAACGCGCACAAAAACTTTACCATACCCGTTAGCAGTTTGCTGAGGCGCACGATGAAAATGGCAAAAGTCGATTACTCCAGATTACGAGGAATAGAAGGGAGGAGGGGTAGAGAAAGAGGGGGAATGGAGAGAGAGAGAATATTAAGTACTGAGAGGTTCGCAAAATCGATCATTTCAGGTACGAAATTGAAAAATGGATACCGCAACCGCTTAGGGAGTACTTTACGAGCATTCAGTAGACTTTAAAAAAAAAAAAAAAAAACCGAAAAAGTGAAATAGAGTGCCATTAAAAAAAATGCGAAATAAAATATTTTGATCGAAACTCTTGGAGGTGAGGGGTTCTTACATACACTCAATGTTGTGCCGGTGTAATAATAGATTATCAGTTTGTTACGGCACCCAGGAATCCAAGTTATTCGCAACATGCAGATCGTATTCGATGCATCAATTGGGTGACTGATGCATCAATCCTAAAAACAAGTAACTCGGTTCTTTGGCCGTTTACCCCATGAAATGGGAATATTATTCAAAATGCTGATAGTGTCTTCAAAAAGCATCATATCCTCGCTATCTCAAAGGAATTTAAAGATTATAGGAAGATAAGGGGTTGGTTCAAATAACTTTTAACGTTATTTAGACTTTTTGTTCCTACCATAGACCCTGAACGACATCTTCAATTCAAGAAAAATGAAGTTTTAAATGTTCATCACCATTTTTTACCGTCATAACTCCATTAACAGCACTATATCCATGATAAATTTAAAAACATCATCGTCAAAGGTTGAGTTCCCCTCGGATTTAGCACCGTTTGTATGGTCTACGGTATAAGGACACTGTTAATTGTTTATGGTAATTAATTGGTTATAAACATTTAAAACGTAATTTTCCTTGAATTTAAGTTGTCATTCAGGGTCTACGGTGGGGACAAAAAGTCTAAAAAACGTTGACAGTTATTGGACCGTGGACAGTTTTTTTGCTCCCTTAAAAAATCGTGTTTCCTGAGATCTCTAAATGAATTTTGGAGCTCACCGTAATATCAACAATGGGGAAATAATGAAATGCACCTTTTACAGATCGTTTTTTGGGCTAAAACCTCAAATTCTTATTTTATGACCCAACTTGACAAAAGGCACTCTTTTAAAAACCCCGGAAGACTTTGAACTTGAGACTTTGTCAAATCGGAGAGTTTTTCCATTAGGTACAGATTAATAATCATCGTTAGTTTTGGAGAAAAAATAAATATATTTGTCTTTTTACAAATGCGCATTGTAATTTATACTTAAACTGGCCGTATTTAAATAAGGAGTAACTATACCCATTCTGACCTGGACCCTGATACCTATTTGAATACACGCATGACAGGGCTTATTTTGCAATGGATGTAGTTCTTTTTGATTTTAATACGTCCCATTTGCCGTGTTTGAGGCTCGAAATCGTCGGGTTTGAGAAAACCAGGAAAAATTTCCAACAGTCGCGTTGATTTCGTTTTTTTCTCTCTCGAAAGGGAATTTTTTTTTCTGCAAAAGTTGTCGCATAGATGACGGACAGGATCCTGCGTCTAAAAATGCGCGATCAATCAAGATACCTAGCCTGCCGCGCTAGGGAAGAAACTCATATGGACCATCAGACGTTGCCAAATTTTCTCTGATAAAGCCCGAATTTTCTGGGAATTTTATCAACATTTTTCTCCAAATTTTTTAAGGTATTTTGCTCACAATTTGATCTTAAATATCTGAAAATTTACAAGGAAACCACCCATGAGTTTCCTTAAAAACTAAGGTTTTGTCAGAAGAATTGTGGCAACTATTGAATGTCCATACTACGTTTTTCCTAAGCACGGCAGTAGTGAGATCAGGTTGCCTATGTAGATATGTCTGCAGTTCCACTACACGCGTCATAAAAAAGAGACTAAACCAATTGTTTTACGTGGGTAAAACAGGGAAAAATCACACTCGACCTTTTAGAAGGATGCGAATAAGTCGCGGAGTCGGAATAAAATTTTCCTGAAATTCTGAGAACGGTAAGTGCGGCATGCACACACACACATGGAACATTTCACTGTCAAGAACACATGTGTCACGCATTTCGAATGATAATTTCAGATCTTCACTAAGTGCGATGAACTTCACTCTCGGAATGTTTTGAGGGGGAAAAAACACTGCAAATGGAAGAGGGGCCTCTTCAGGTGTCCTGCGCTGTGAGCTGTCCGAAGTGGAAAAATTTAAAATTCCGTTTTATTGCAGAAAATAAATGTTTCAATCGGCATATCTAGTTACATTTGCCTGGAGGGGCCTGGCCCCCTTATCACTTAAGGATTTGGGGATATGGGATACCCCCAGTCAAGAAGCGGGTCTAAGGGGCCTCCCCCTGAAAAAAATTGAAATTTTATATCCATGAGGAGGCATTTTACGGCTTCTGTGACGCAGATAGTCTAACAATTTCTGCGAAAAAATTACGTTTATTTTTTTACTTTCAGCAAAAAATACCTACTAATCGCTGCATTCGAAGGATCCGGAAATTTTTTAAAAGTATCTTCTTTACTACAAGCTCCGGGATCTCCTAAATTTGCGTACCTGGTAACGCTTAGCTCCAGCGTTCTGAGCCGATTTTCATGATTTTTGCGGCTATCGACAGGCAATTGTCTTTAGATGAGCCCGCTCTATTCAGATTTTGAAAATATGGACCAGGTTTTTTATCTAATGACAAATGGCGGGAATTTCAAATTTAGCGGAAAATTAAACTAAGCGGGAAATGTTGATTATTGGTCTGTTGGAAGGGTAAGGTAAGTAAATCGAAGGTATGCTCCTTTGCTATAGACTATCCAAAAGTGACGAGTCCGCTTTGTTTCAATCTTGGCGTGAAGTTTAAAATAAATGTCGATTTTTTTTCGATTCTTACCGGTCCAATCGCTCCCGGCTAAGAGAAGATTAGACAAATGAGAGTCGGGTATGAAATCTTTCAATATTTTTGTTCCTTCTCTTGTCGGAGCAGACTTAAGACAGAGCTGAGCGCCCTCCGGGGGTTAGGCCGCGTAGCGGCCAGGGGGCATAGCCTCATAGTGACTCTATTTGGACGAAAACTCGATTTGAAAATTCTACGTAGGCAACAGTGTTTTACGGAGGTGAGATGCGGGGGAGCTTAATTGCATCGAGATGATCCAGCATTTTACCCAGAAACTCATTATTTTGCTCATGACGGGCGTTCGCATTACATTAAAAATTTTACGAAAGTTCTGTCCAATCACGGACATAGTTCACAGAAAATTTCAAACGAAAATTTTCAACCGTTCTTGCGTAAATGAATGCATACATAAAAACCGCTTTCAGTGAGCTCGCTGTGCAATATCTAGCCGCTGAAGTCCCCTATCCCCCAAAGCCCCTCAGGGAGTTGGTACTCTCTCATTTCCTGCAAATCCCTTTATCGCCTTCCTATTCCTGAGCTTTACAAAGATGCAACAATCCTGCCCCACTCTCATTCTTTCAAGTCCAACTTGTTTTAATTTATGTTTTTAAAGGACGAGAACGAAACGCATCTGCGTATTTTACGATATTATAGACAGACCCAAATCTAGAAATAAATTCTCGATTACATACTTGGAATGGAAATAATTTATATTTATATAAAGAGGTGATACTCACAGACACAGCGTTTGGGCTGATAACGAACAATTCATGACCCTCTTTAACCAACCTTTCTGTCAGTGCCATTATAGAACGTTGATGACTGAAAGAGGGTGTGGGGTAGAAGACTAAAATTTTGTAGGCCTCCAGACCAGAGCTCAACACCAGGAGCAGGAGGGTGAGCAAATTTTGAGGTAGCATAGTTGATCCGGTTTGCAAATAATCTAATGGATGCAATAAAGCAGTGATCTGTTTATACACTTCTGGGGAAAGAAAAGGGAGGCATTTACAAATGGATTGAAATAATATTATCACGCCTACAAGAATGAGTACATATAAAGTATTTTTTACTGTTAAGAATCATAACATGATCATGATTTTGCTGACTTTCAGCACACTTGTAACAATCCATCACAACCGCTTTTTCAATTAACCGAATGAAAATGACTAAAGGAGAGCAATTTACATGCACAACATCTCGGCGATTATCTTATCTCGTGACCCCCCTCTACGTATCTAAAACAAAGATGTTTTAAATCGAAGCTCGTTCATAATTTAAGCTCTAATAAGCGTTCCGGCGCTAAATTTTCTTATTAGTCTGAAATAATCTAATCACAACAAAATTAAAAGTAGAAAATCAAATTTTATGATAATTTGACCGAGTGAAAAACCCACCCTTTTATCTTTCCATATTTACTATCTCTCATTTTCTGCTGACATCAAACCAAGTAATTACCTTTTAGATATTGTGACACCATTCTTTCCTAAGTTGGGGTCAATGCGTAACGTATTTTAATTCAAATTTTAATGTCTATTATTAACGAACTAAAACAAAAATGCAGCAATTCTTTGAAAAATAGTTTGATACACAGCGATAGTGCACAGTATGGTTTTTATCCAGCTTAGTGTTAAAAACGATGCAGATGGAGCGACTAGTAATAGATTTATACCCACATAATTTGTTTATCATATCGAATCACAAGAAATCGTGATATGGATAGTCATATTGTAACCATTGCTTTAAAAAAAAAAAAAAAAAAAAAAAAAAAAAAAAAAAAAAAATCAGCAGGATTTCTACAGGTTAAATGGATGCGCGGAATGAACAAAAATCGATTTGTACTGGTATCAAATACTATAGTTTCCCTTTTATTGAGAAGTTAAAAATGGAAAAATTACGTCAAGAGGTAAACTCTGTTTACCAACTAATATTTCAACAAATTTCCACCGTAGAGCCAAAATTGATTAAAGTCATGAGTCTTTCTTTCCATAATGTTTCACCAGCATACTTGAAACCAAGTAAACTTCACGATAAGCCTCAATCTATGTATAATCTATGTAATGCATAGCAACATTGTATTAGGTACTTATCTGTGGCTTTTTTACCTACTACTCACGTAGCGCTACTATCAAGGAAATGGAATCAAAAGCCCTCAATCGTTCAAGTAGTTCAATCCTGGTAGTTAATCTCTGATTTTTGACGAAAAAAGAGTTCCGGCCCTCTCCGCTATCGGAGCAGCCAAGTTAAATCGATATATCGACGGTGAAACTGCAAAACTGCGTATCTCAGTCGCTGTGTCTCGAAATCTCCAATCCTACCTTTTTTTTAATATTTTTTTTAAGGTGACCGAACCAACATCGTGCACTGAAGTTTTTACAGAATATTGTTTATGACACTGGCATTTTCAAAGAATGGCGCTCAGTAGTTTTTCTTGCTGAAAATAACGTATGCCAGGAAGTCTGCAACAACAGAAAACAACGCATTTCAGCAGTTCCACCGCCGATATACGGCGAACTTGCTGTTACGGTGTCCATGGCGCCTGGAATTCCTGGATGCAACTATTCGTGCACTTTGGATGCCCGTGTTGCCTATAAGACAACTCGAAGGCGCTCTGACTTTCCGCGCACTCCGCCGCACAGTGGATCGAGTCAATCAGAGAGGTCGGACATGATATTTTTGACTAAAACTGCAAATTTTGATGTTTGTTAGGTCACATTTCATATTTAAAGATTACCTCCAGAAGAATATTTCACAAGGAAACCATTGGAGCCACTTTTACAACCTAATGGTTTCATATAAATGGAGTTATAAGCGTCTAAAGTTTTTAAATTTTGTCCGATCTCTCCTATTGACTCGATCCATTGTATTCCCTCGGTTCCCTCGTTTAGCCGACGTTACATGCTGCAAATGGAGTCCTTTAAAATGGGTCATCCGTGTCGCTGTCGAATGTTGACCCTCGAAACCCATTTTCAGCTATTGTTCACCATATACAAAAACTTTTACGATTTTTTGTACAAATTTCCAACTTTTTACAATATTAGGAGTAACTTTAAAACTCAGGCCGTCATTTTACAGGGATGGCGCAGAATTTGGAAAATTAAACTCCCTGACATTTCCCTGATTACCGGTGAAATTCTCTAACAATGGACTACTAGACAAGGTACGAATTTTAGCATTCTGATACATGTTTCTTAACCAGAATTTCACGTAGAATACGATTCGCGTAACGAAAATTACTGAAACCAACTCCTAACGGAGATATTAACATTTTTATTTCACATTGGCTACGAGGAATTTGAACTGCCCGCTCACAAGAAACTCAAAGCTCTACGTGAGTCAAATCGCGCACTACAACGGTTTCAGCAATCTTCTCAATCGAGCAATGTTCATTTCCCACCATGTGTTGTTCAAACTATAAGCAATTTGCTACAGCTGAGCCAAAGCGTCAAGATTGAGGTTGCCAGATTTTTATATCTCAGAGACTGTCATGATAAACGTTTAGCGCGCGATGTGAATCACGTAGAGCATTGAGTTTTCATGAGCGGGTGGTTTGAATTCACGCATCAAGAATTATTGAATATCTTCGTAAGGATGTGATTTCGGTAATTTTCGTTGTGCGCATCGTGTTATACGTGCAATTTTGGTGAAGAAACATGTATCAAAATGCTGAAATTTGCACCTTGTCTAGTGGTCCATTGAACAAATGCCAGATTTTTAAAAAGACATATATGTTAAGAAATAGTTTACAAGCAAAATGTGTTATTCAAAACGTCAAACCCGCTCGAGCAAGCAAATGAAGGTGATTTGACGATTTGTCCCCGGCATTTTGGTCATTTTTCCTGACATTTCAAGGTTTTCCCTGACTTTTTAAAATTCCCTGAAATTTCCGGTTTTCCCTCTATTACCTGGCTGTAGCAACCCTGGTTTATGAACATAAGTGAAATGATGGCTGATTAGCCCCGATCTCATTGATCGCTGAAAAGTGCGTGTTGTGGCCCACTTTTCAGGGCACCACTCAACAATGCATCGGTGACCTCCGTTTTCAGCTCCCATTTTCAGCTTGTGAGGTGAGCATTTTCCCATTAATTGCATTTAATTTAGAGGTTCGGTAATACTACTTTGGTGCCCGAACCTCCGAGCTGGCATTCTACGTGAGTTCGGAACTTCCAGTTCGGTGACCAACGAATCGCAACGTTGAAGCGTGATTTTGGTATATAGGCTCAGTTACACGGTCAAATTGAGTCATCAAGCTGAAGCTCTGATTGGTGGAAAAAGACCGGAGGTGAGTATGCGACCAATGAGAGGCCCAATCTGATGGCTCAATTTGATCGTGTAACTAGACCTCAACACCGCGCGAGGTGGTTCTAAAAATGGTCCGACCTATCGAAAACCAACGGATCTGATTGGTAGAATCTGGTAACAACGGTGTCCACTGGTTTTGGTGATTGGCGAGACAAACCGGGACAGAACTTCCCAAAGAGGCTCGGAACTTTAAATAAAATTCGCTTATTTTTGCACGTACCGTTCTCTTCGTTTCCACAACGGTGCAAGGATACAAACAAGGATTCGAGTCGAATATTGGTGCTCTCGAGTGACGGGAGGAAGGGCGGGTGAGTTGTGACCTTGCCGCGAAGGGACACCGGGTAGGGGGGCGGGGGGTGGTGGGGTAGTGCTTCTCAATTTAAATGCTCGTCAAATATTTGCTAAGCTTACAGCTGTTTGTCTTGGTTTCCCCGCTCTGTTTCCCTCGTCGTTTCGCGCCTTCAATCTCGTTAGCATTTGAGTATACGCTAAGCCTTCAAATCTTTGAATTCTAATTTCGTTGTCCCAACTTACGAGCGGTGAAATCAAAAACCTGATTTGCAAGATGTAGATAATGAAATCTGAATGAAGAGCGTTTGTCGTAAAAAGGCCTATTCGCGCCCTTTTTTGGCGGAACTCGGGGAGCCCTTTAAAAATTGTTTTATGACGTCATCCACCAGGGTAGTGACACCCCTGGTTTCTTCCACCTTGCTTTTATCCGAGTTTTAAGTGGAGCATCCACATAGACAAGAGACCCTCCACTGGTATCTTGGCCATGGTGGAAGCTTTTACTTTCCAAACTTCAGCATGCTACTGTTGACTTGTTTACATTGTTGATGTTTAACAACGTGTGGGCAGTTTCGTTTCGCAAACAAGCCGAAAATGGCCGAAGTTTGGGAAACTTGTTTGGCTCACGACGTCACCCGAAGCTCATCATCCGCCATATGGGTAGGTCAACAGCCGAAATTAGGGTGATGACTGTTGCTCCCTTCAAATTGTCCATAGGGAATTGTTGAATCCCCGAAAGTAAAAGCTTCCACCTGTCACTAAAAGGCCAGTGGAGGGTCTCTTGTCTATGAGCATCCAGTGCAAATTTGCGTCACATTGACTGATGAAAGCAAGGTGGAAGAAACCAAGGGTGTCACTACCGCGGTGGATGACGGCAAAAACCCGACTTTTCAAAGGCGATATCTCGATTAATGTTGAACGTAAAAAGTTGGGCAGATTTTATTATTAGCATTTTATATATTGGGATTTTATATTATATATTGGGCAGATTTAGTTGATCTACAAGAATCAAGCAGCAAAACACGATTCTATGACCAACGCAACTGACCCATTAGTTCATCTAACGGGAGGGTTCGAAGAACCAGCGGAAAAAGTTCGCCGAAGGCCCACAAACCACTCACGCGTGGACGAAGTCTCACGATGAGACAATGCCCCACTGAAAGTTTTAGCTTGAGTTCAAAGCTCGTTTCGCCAATACAACGTTGCAAAGTTAAATTTTTATCATTAAGAAATGTCGATATTTTGAAGTTCCTCAGTTGTAAAAACAACTTCAATCGATCCCTTTTTATTTTCTAAAGCAAAGGAACGTCAACTAATAGAACCGAGCTTTCGAAAACAAAACGTGATCACCAAAATTGTTGTTTTGAAACGAGGAATTTATAATGTCAGCATTTTTCAGTTATAAACATGTGAACTTTGCAACACTGTATCGCCAAAACAAGCTTTGAACTCAAGCTAAAACTGTCAGTGGATGATTTTTTTTATTTTAAGGTTTGTTTAGGCTACATTTGATTAAAATCCCTGAGTTTCCCCAAAAAAGGATACTTCATCGTTTCCCGAACGAAGGAACGCAACTTCATTCCAAAGTTGCATAATGGACTGGAAAAATTGTATTTTTACAAGACTTAGTCAGATTTAGTCAAAATTATGTCTGATGATTGAAGATCAGACAAAATTCGGTGCATTTTTAGTTACAGTCAAGGATTCTCCTGGTAAAAATGCATCTTGGAAGGGGGAATTTAGTGACATTTCCCGAAAGTCGAAACTAAATTATGTTCGAAATCTTACGGAAAAATTCTCGATTGCAAATCTTCCGGAAAAATTCTCGACTTGCAAATCTTCCGGTTGAATATTCGGGAAGGAAGAAATCTCCTAATTCCGGATAATAATCCGGAAAATGGGAGACCTGCTCATTAGAGTTCTCAAATGCTGGGCTAGTTTTAAAGCAGAAAGTGTATTGAAACGCACACTTTTACCGATTTGATTCATCTTCGTCAGCCTAGAACGTTTAAAATAGGGAACTTTCATTTTCGGTGACCTTCGCTCCGTATGAGCAGGAGTTTCATTGTGGCAATCGTTTTAGTTGATGTATCCACACGGAAAAAAAAGAACCGTCATTTTAACAGTCACATTGAATGTTAAATTTGTTTGACGTTTCTCTGTTCTTTTACTTGTGGTGACTGCTAATTGAACATTTTAAGTATGTTGNAGCAGCAGCGCTGCTACATCGACAGCAGCGTGGATTTAAATTCAAGAGCGAACCGGCCGTCATGAAAACAGCGACGCTGCTATTTCCACAGCAGCGGCCGCTGTTAAATCGAAAGCAGCGTGAGCGTCAATCTGATGGGGAACCGACGCTTACGCCAGCAGCTGCGCTGCTAGTGTAACAGACTAGTTGATGTAGGTTGAGCAGATTTTGTTGTCATTGTTACATTCATTTACTGTCAATGTGACAGCAAAGCGCCTGTTATAATAACAGACAAAGGTAATGTTATTTTAAAAGCCGGGATGCTGTGCCGTTTTTTAACATCCAAGGACTGTTTCTTTAGCAGTCGCGACGATTAAAATGACAGTACTTTTTTTTCCGTGCATTTTCAGCCAGAGGTAACTAAAACTTGGAAATTGAGCAAGACTCACTGACTGAAGGTTAAAAGCGCAATACATTAATAAAAGAACGCCTTTGTAGGGAGTTCTAATTTACCTCAAGAAACTACCTTACTCCTTGAATATGAAATTGCATACCCAGCGAAATGAAGGAGCCTCGAGTTAGTTTGTGGGCTGGTAGTCTAACAAAGGGTACGGAAATTCGAGTCAAATTCAATTTCGCGCAACTGTTTTAAACTTCATGGATCACATTTCATCCAACGCACTTACCGGAGCTGAGCTAACTCCTTTCTCTCCTTCTAAATCTTATCTAAATTGTAAAGAGAGGAGAACATTCCTAACTTTTCCGTTGAATTTAGCCTTACTTTTAGGCGAATAATAAGAAAAATCTCGCCTTCGACATGTAGCGAAAGTTTTCGACAATCTCACTGAGGATGCTTTGCTGCCAGTCCATGTGTGAAATTTGCTTTGACTTTTAATGAGTATTGGGGAAACAAACTTGCAGTAACAATTTTCTTCAGGTGCCATTTCAGCTTCACAGAGGCGCAGAGAGTATTGACAGCAAATGCGAGAACTTTTGAGTTTATTTTGTTCTTACCTTTCACAATATACGCATGGTTGCAAAAAAGAATAGCTTTTGAAATGGTAGACCACGTAATCTCACTTTAGTCCCCGTATTTTTGGCTGTTCGTGCACATACTGCCCTCCAAAATTGACGAGAAATTGCGATGAATGCATAACAATTCTACTTTCTCTTATTTAAACTGAGGAAATGTACTTTCGAACGCCCTCAAACTCAACATCCCCCTCCTACAATTATTCTCCTCACCTCCTCCTCCCCCCCTGCTTTCCTTTTCCTCAGGTTATTTTGGCACTAGCAATTATTTTCCCGCATTTGCAATCGTTTCACTCCTGAGAAAAATGTTTCATGATTTTGAAAAATTTCATAGCCCTGTAAAATTTCAGCAACTTCCAAATCATTTCATTTCATCCCACCCTTGTCTCATTATGTGTGATCAAATTACGATCCAATAAATCAATCATTCGGTCTTTTAAGATCAAATGATCGCGTAGGATGGACAGTTTTTTATGTAATAAGTCGTATCACAATGTTGAAATTTCAATACTCGCATTTTTTTTTATTGATCTTTGATTTTTGTGCAGTTACAGGGTGGTCGTAGTGGTAGCTGCCAACTGCGAGTCCGTCCAGCTAACCGGGCTCATTCCCAACACACAGTACACTTTGTCAGTTGCGGCATTTCGCGCCAGCAAAAAGTATCGTAGCAGTCCTGTGGTTTTCAAAACCCTGGGTAAGCACTCTCCAGCTTTTAAGTCCTTTTTCCCCCAAGTACACAGAAAAAAAGTATCATAATGCACAATCCCAATTCTCCGAGCTGATTTTGGCACCAGATATTAGAGTAGTTGCACAAGCCAAAAGTATAGTTAAGTCTGCTGTAAGTGTAGTTGGATCAACCATACCTATAGCTGGTGCTCCTACGTCTACAGTCAGTATAAGTGTGGTTGGATCAACTATACCGCTGGCTGGTGCCTTTATACCTACACTTCTAGCTGGTGCAACTACTCTTATGGCTGGCGCCAAAGTCAGCTGGAAGGATAGTTTAGATTGTGATATTTTTATAGAAAGATTGATTATATGAAGGGGTGATTTTTTTTAGATAAGTGATTTTATAAGGGAGTGACTATTTAAGATATATGCGCAATAGTAGTTCCTTATTTAAGACTAAAGTCAAATTTTCAGATGATTGAAAGATGAACAAAATTAAGCGGAAAGGAACCAAAGTCCTCAGACGAAAGAGAGGGACTCCATTTAAACGTTGCAAAATTTCTACTCACCAATCGTACTCTTGCGAAGAGTATCGCGCGTTTTTACTAATTGTCACTCTGACTGCACGCAAAAATTAGCGAGATTTTGAAAATTAACTGCATAGGCAGATTCTTCAGAAAAATTGAATGAATTTATGTTCTATCTCAAGGAAACGACCGGTGACGAATCGTAAGATAGAGCAGAGGCTTGCAAATTCAAAATATTTGGCGAATTAATCTCCCATGTAACGAACATGAATAATTCAATTGCAACAATTTGCTCGGGTTTTTTGATTGCCAGAGTTTGGCTGTTAAAACTGATTTAATAGTAAATCACTGGTCACTCCAAAAAATTTTTGATTTAAGATTTGTGCATGTTATCAATTTTAATTTTATTGTTACAGAGCTACAACCGAGGAATCATTCAGGAGGCCCTTTTACAAGTGGAGGGCCTCCTGTCGTCTTCATAGGCCCTGGGAGGTCACAAAATTTCACAGGTCCACCTTTTCCCCCGACTTCATTTCCACAGGTTCGAAACTGTTCTACTTATTCATCATATTCCAATTTTATGTTAAAGTTTTTTTTAAAACCTTTTTTAAAACTTTTTTTTTAAAAAACATTTTTAGAGATGTTATTGGCATATTTAGTGATGCGGAGATAAATACTAAGAAACGTATAAAGATTCATACGTTTTGCCCATTTGCCTGCTCTCTTAAATACTAGTTATAGACCGCCTCTTGCTTGTTGAAAGTATGCATTAGCAAAATATCAAATTTGCCACGTAACACACACTTAAAACATATCTATAAACATAACGTATATCCATGTGAAATTTGTATCTAGGCATTGCCCTCTAGGAAACTATTATTGATATCCAAGTTAAATTTTACCCTAAATCTTGGGCTTTATATGATCCTCATACTCTGCGGAGACATTTACACACATTTTTGAAGCGTTAAATTGCTCCTTTTTTTTTGTTCTACTTTGTAAAACAATGAAACAACGGATGAAATATGGCAGCGTTAAAAAGCACATACGCCAATAGATTTGTCAAATCCAGCCGAATTAAAGTAAGGACTTTGCCAATGAAACTTCATAGAAATACCATACGTTGGCGAAAATGATTCTTAAGTCAGAATGAGAAAAGGACATCATGATAAATAGAAAGCATGCTACTTTGCGTGCATTTCTAATAGGTTCTATTCCGAAGGAGGCATTGCTCATTTCCTGCAGCTCTTCGCTTTTTTATAGACGCCGACATCGAACCCATAGACTCATATTTTCCAACAGCGCGGCGAGTATCAAATATTGGATTCATTAATTAGACTTAATTTTGCAGTACAAATTCATTACTTCTGACTAATTGATGAGGGCACCTATCTGAGAGAAAAAATAAATGTTACGTGTTCTTTCTAGAATGAGTTAGAGATCGACGGACAAGGTGCGAAACGACGTAACACCATCGCAGAGGCTCAAAATGTCTGCTTCGGTTTTATTTTTACGAAGAAAATCAAGCCAACCGTATAACTTGAAAAAAATATTCTGCTAACGGAGAATAGAAATCAAGGAAATTTTCAAAAAATTACGTCGACTAATTTTTCTACGTAAAAATAAAGTGTGACAGGAAATTTGCAAAGTGGCAAATTTTTTCGATGTCGTTCCGGACAAACATTTCTCACTTTCCCGAAAAATGTCCTCGCGGATCGTACGATCGGGCAGATTTTGAAACCCTTCTCCGACAGGCGCAGTATAGGCAATTCGCACATCAGAACGTGTGCGTAATGGTGTAGCGCTTGCAGTATTTCTGGGATGTCGAAGGCGAGCTGTCGAAGGCTGTATGAGATGAGCGCCTGTTATTGCCCGCGCTAATTTACCTGATTCCGGTTAGTTTCGTGCATTTATTTTTGGAAAGGAGGGGTATCGTTTAGGACCTTTTTTTTGGGTCCACCCTGAAATTCCTCAACTCCGCGATTTTTTGGTCATCCGTAAAATATAGACCTTCAATGACCACAAAATTGCGGAGTTGAGGAATTTCAGGGTGGGCCCAAAAAAGGCCCTTAACGATACCCCTCCTTTGAAGCAAAGTTGCGGTTTCGTCGATGACTAAATTATTTTGTTGCTGATTTGAAAAAATAGGTGCGTGGAATTGAGGTCGGGATCGTCCTGATGGTGCTATTAGTATGGGTCGGTGCGATCATCCTGTTTTTCAACCGATGGGGCAAAATCCGGATGTTACTGCCCTATCAACCGGACTACAAAGATACTCAGCTCAAAGTCCCTGGGACGGGGGCTTGCGCCAGCTCCAGCACTTGCCAAAATCAAGTAACTTCCGGTTTTTGCTGCTCACAGGTATTATCGATCACTACTTACCTTATTTTCTGCAGTTTTAAAATATTTATTAAGCATTCCAGGGAATAAACCGATCAAAATCAGTGAACATTGTAGTACAATGTCTGAAAGGTAGTAGCGCTGAATATATTGGTATTTGGAGTGTAGCCGAGTGCTAGAAATAATGTAAAATTGTCTTTAAAAAACTTACATTTTATTAACAAACTCTGAACGAAGCTGGAATCTGACTGAAATCTGTTACCTTGTTTGAAATTAAATTATGGCCTTTGTGATATTGATTTCGTGACCCTGACGATGAAGCGTTTACTTAGAAAAGCTTCGGTCAAAGTTTGTTAATAAAATGCAAGTTTTTTAAAGACAATTTTACATTATTTCTAGCACTCTGCTACACTACAAATACCAATAAACCGATAGACGATCGATAAATTGAAAATTTATTTTAGAGTCTATGACATTCCTCGCGAATTTATAAGCAAAACATTGCGCTAGACCGGATGATGGAGCTTTTTAGCCAACGTGCGTAAAAAGTTCAGCTTAAAGCTGATATCTCAATACAGAGGGAAAAAGCTCACACACAAGCACAATTTTCCCTCAAAGAGATATGCTGTTCGGAGCAATTCTAGTTACGTCCATTCGGGATAAGGCAACTGCAGACGCGTTTCGGCCTTGTTGGGCCAATCCTCAGTGCAGTGCAGCCTCCTGAATTTTCTGCTACCAAGCTCGAAAGGTCATGAAAAGGTCGAGGTCTGTAATGAGATATCAGCTTTAAGCTGAACTTTTTATGCACTTTGGCTAAAAAACCCCAACATCCCGTCTTACGACCCATGCGTTTACCGCAATCAGTTTGTGTAACACATTACGCCGTACGTCAGGTAAAATTTACCAGAGAAAAATGTTGATTTAACTGTAGAAATATGTCCCGAGTGAATATCACAAAACAAAAGGCATAACGCAGAGGGAATTCTTGAAGGAAGGCAACTCTGAGTTTTCTATTTAAATGTATGTAAAGCAGTCGACTCATAATGAGATAGTCTGTCTCAGCTGCAATCGATGTATTTGATGGCTTTAAGTGGAGTATTAAAAGTGTTAACAACTTTCTGGAATCGCCTCTGGTAAAACGATTTGAAAACTTCACTCGAGGTGTACTTTCAGAGTTATGTCAAAGAGCTTCTCGGTCATATTTTGTGTTCAACACTCTGACGCACTGCAGCGTGATGTGATGTCCGGAAATTCTAAAGATATGTTCTAAAATCTAGGAAGTATCAATTGACCGTTCGACAATAGAATCGGTCTCCGAAATGCTGAAGAACCACCTTGAGAAAATTTTTCTATTCAAAATCACCAATCAAGTAACCGTTATCTTTATTAAAACATTTGGTTTTCAATCATTCGAAATTCTTTACTGTCTTATTACAAAATGTAACAGAGTCAGGCAAAATAGTTCAAGTTCAAAGCAAAATAGTTCAATTCCCTGTTCTTCTAGTATACCGTGCCAGGTGAAATTGCCATACTTTGTGCCACCTGCACTACAAGTTTAACTTCTTGAACGGGTAACATTGGTAGATGGGCGTATAATATCAAATAGCGTAAATATCAATATGAGTTCATTCACCGCGGTATACTCGAAGCGAAGCACATTAATCTCCGAGCACACATTGTCGCAAAATACTACCTCAGCGAAAAGAAGAGTTGTTTCCGGTGGAAAATGGCATAAAAACATTAATCAGGATAGTCTAAAATTTTCTTTCAACTTCCGATATGCGTGAGAAATTCGCACGTCCTTAAATAAAAGTGCAACCGAAAAGAATATAATACTCTAAAACGTTAATAAAGGGGAACACATGTTTCATACAGATTAGTCATACGCAGGCGCAGTATAGGCAATTCGCACATCGGAACGTATCTGCGCAACGGTGTAGCACTTGCAGTATTTCCAGGATGTCGAAGGCGCTGTATGATGCGCGCCTGTTATTGCCTGCGCCAGTTAACGATGATTATGCGACTTGCAGATTTTCTATGGTAGTTTTTTGAAAAGAGAAAAGTATTCAATGTCAGTTATTTGAACTTTCCGTGGTTTTTCTCGTTTCTGTGAGTCAAGTCCTGGAAAAACTTCAAGTAATAATGTTGCTTTGTTCTCCGTTAAAAGTATGAAACAGATGGGGAGACTTTTAAACACCGCAAGCGAGATAAGTGGTTTAGGAGTTCTACGTACCGTTAATATCTGGCACGCTAGTATGCTGAGTTTTCAAATGGAATAAAATCCCCTGAACTTTATTGAAGGTCAGAACAGAGTAGTATAATCGACAGTTTCATTTTTAAGCCTTTTTCCGTATGAGGTAACTCCTCTCTTCACTTTAGCGGGCTGATCGTTAAAATTGATAGACAAAGCCATAGACGAAGAGGACGTAAGGAGTATAAAGCAATCCTATCGTTTGAAATAGCTGGTTTTTATGGACTTAGGGAATAAATGATGGACTATAACCATAGGGTCTCTCGTGTTTTGCGGTTGCAGTTAGTCAGTCTATGACCTACCTCCTTTGTCCATTGTAACCACTCGCTTTTACCAATGGGGTCTCTTCACATCCCTTTTGTCTTCTTTGTCTTTAGCTTTATCTATCAATTGGATTGCATTTTGCAAAAAGGAACCAGAAGCAATGCCATGTTGCTAAGATTGTGCGACTTCACGCCTTGCAATAAAATTACTGTAATCATTCAAAAATATGAAATTTACATGGTAATTTTTGTCTTAAATTTACAGTTTTTTGCGTGTGAAATAGAAACTATTTATAGATGACCAGGTTTTTCTTCCAAGACAAGAGAAGTCGCACAATCATAGCAACATTGCAATGCTCCTGGTTTCTTTTTGCAAAATGCAGTCCAATTTCATCGATCAGCCCGCAGCAAAATTTTGCGACGTACTCTTGAACAATGATGGGGGTAGTGACATGATGTTGTAACCAAATGGCTGTTTTTTGGTGGACTTTTAAGAGGTGCATGAAAGATGGCTGCTGCATCTTGGACTTATGTTTTAAGCACAGTCCACCGTCGCCAGAGGCCCATCCGAGGGACTGCAGCTGCCGTTTCGCTCTCTTGCACAGGGCCACCGCCGACGCATGAGCCAACCTGTAAGGAATTCCGTCGAATATGCACAACTGTCGAGTAGTTTGCCGTCGAATACTTTAGCAGTACGCACCGCCAAAGTAAAACATTTTAGCACCGATTTTCACGCTATTAGCCGACAGATCAGTAGAATTGGCACCTGTAACGCAACCGTGTTCAAGTTTTCTCGTCAAAACACTGCGTGGAAGATTTTCGGCACATGTATGTCGTTTTTGTGTTTCCTGATGCATCAAGTGTGACAATAACAACGTTTTCTGCAAAACTCGCGAAGAATCACAGGTCTTTTTGACCATAGATTTTATGGATTACATTTTGCAATAAGGAACCACTATTACTGGATCATTTTAGAAACAAAATATGAGCCATTGATTTCCCTATGAAAATACGTGCTTTTATAGAAGAGCCAGAGATAGTGGTTCCTTATTGCAAAATGTAATCCATATATGCTGCCGTGCTAAGGAAAAACGCTTTAAAAACATTCAAGAGTTGTCAAACTTCTCTTGATAAAACATGTATTTTTGACAACATTCATGCATATTTTTCCTTGAAATTTTCAGATATTTTAGATTAAATTGCCTACAAAATTGCCTGAAAATTTTCGGAAATAATATTCACAATTTTCCTAGTGAATTTGGTTGTTATCGAAGGAAACTTGGCAACGTCTGAAGGCTCATACGGCGTTCTTCCTCAGCACAGCAGTATGAGTAAATCGATTCACTTCTTGTGTATCCGTTTCTCGTGAGAAGGATTAAAACTTTCTAAGGACATGAAAAGATCCGTAGATAACATTTTGCCAACAAGTATTTCCGAAACATTTAAAATGTATTCACTTCATTGAGTGTCATTATGAAGCTCACTCTTAGCTTCGTCCACGGCCAAATACGTAAACAATACGTTACCTTCGATGTCATTTTTTTTATCCGTATAAGTGTTTTATTTTGATTTGTTCAATTGTTTTTCCTCTAATTCAATTTTGGCGCGTATACGTAGTATACCGCCTTTGCGATCGTTTCGACCCCCCCCCCTCGATACAATAACCGAGTCCCCTAGTTCCTTACCGAAAAGTGACTACCGCGAACTTCTGAGATTTTCCAAAGCGTGTAAAAAGTTTACTAATCCGTCAATAATAATGATTAAAATTTGTTTCTCATTCTGGGGCTCGCTAGTTTATGTGTAATGAATACCAAGAGTCTACGTTTCTTGGTTTTTTTTAAAAAAACCTTAGAATGGGGCGCGCTGATTTAAAATATGCATATATAAGCGGAAGCAAGCGAACTGATTCGAGGATGGCTGACCAGTTCGGCACTCCTTGAATGAGAATTTCACTCACTCCGTTTTGTTCACAACGTTGCTTTGACATATCTCCACAACACTGTTATCCTTTTCAAAAGTTGGTACTCCTTGCTCTGATAGCCGGGGCCACCAGGATAGTGGTAAGTGCAATCTGTGATGAGCCTCGAGACTCATTAGACCATTTGCTAAACGTGGCTCATACAGGAGTCCACTAAGCCCTCTCGTCCCCACGCTCCTGATCACTGCGTCGGCGTCACGAAGAACAATGGGCCTTGGGTCCCAACGCGGCCGATACCCGTACCCCAATTACTCACGCTTCATTAACCATTTCACCGTCACGCTAGGATTCATCCAATTTTCAAAAAAAAT